ACTGTTTGAAACGCGTATTCGCTAAGCAGTCACCTAAGTGCTAGTCCGTGATTCACTATTGTCACCTACAGTTGTCCCATAGCCACACAGGCTCTGGGCATGGCGACAATGAGGGCTCTGAGCATGGCGACAATGAGAGTGCTCATCATGGTTACAGTGATGATAATGATGTTGATTATAATGAAGATATGTTTTACTGATGTTGATGATGATGAGTATGGTGATGATGCTATGTTAACGATGATGATAATGATGATGATGGTGAGAAGAGGAATTGTTACATGTGTATCCTCTATGACTTCACCATTGATAGATCTTCTACAGCCATTACTAAAATTATCTGTTCATAGAAACTGACTCGTTTGTCCCCCTGGACGAACTAGTGATCCAACTTCCGCAACTAACAACAGATCACCACCGAGTAAGTTACCTTAACAGTCCCGGTAAAACAGTGATATATATTCTCCACCAGCAGTCGACAGGCATGTACTTTGTCGAACGTCGCGGATATGGAGCAGTGGGGAAAACATGAATTCGTTTGGGAAGATATGAGTTAGCTGTACGTGATGTCAAAGAATGAAGTGGATAAACGCGAGCTGGAATCCTATGGTCTCTTTTTTTTTAAATTAAGCAGAACTTTGGGGGAAAAAGGGGGGGGGGGGGGGGAAGATGAGAAGAAAAGCAGAAAAAGGAGAAAGAGAAAAGTAGTAAAGATAAGTAGATGACAAAGTTGGGAGAGGGGAGGAAGAGGAGAAGGATGAGGAACAGCAGCAGCAGCAGAAAAAGGTGATGAAGAAGAACGTGATGAAGATGATGATACAGGTGATAATAATAAAGAAAAAGAAGAAGAAAAAGAAAAAGAAGAAGAAGAAAAGAAGAAGAAGAAGAAGAAGAAGAAGAAGAAGAAGAAGAAGAAGAAGAAGAAGAAGAAGAAGAAGAAGAAGAAGAAGAAGAAGAAGAAGAAGAAGTAGAAGAAGAAGTAGAAGGAGAAGAAGAAGGTGGTGATAATGATGATGATGATGACACAAAACAAGAAGAAGAGGAAGAAGAAGAAGACAAAGAAGAAGAAGATGGTGGTGGTGATGGTGATGGTGGTGATGATGATGATGATAAAGACGAAGAAATGAGTAAATGAGTACCAGAAAATGTCATGGCGAAATAAAGGCAGTAGGCACGATGTTGAACAAATTTCCGATTGATGATAAAGAAGAAGAAGAAGAAGAAGAAGAAGAAGAAGAAGAAGAAGAAGAAGAAGAAGAAGAAGAAGAAGAAGAAGAAGAAGAAGAAGAAGAAGAAGAAGAAGAAGAAGAAGAAGAAGAAGAAAAAAAGAAGAAGAAGAAGAAGAAGAAGAAGAGAAGAAGAAGAAGAAGAAGAAAGAAAGAAGAAGAAGAAGAAGAAGAAGAAGAAGAGGAAGAAGAAGAAGAAGAAGAAGAAGAAGAAGAAGAAGAAGAAGAAGAAGAAGAAGAAGAAGAAGAAGAAGAAGACTAGTTAATAATTTTAAATACACAGTTCATAATTGGTTATGCTGTTTACAGAAGCTACGATACTTCCGACCTGAAGGCCCTAGATTCGATTCTGATTGAAGTTGGTTTTCTTATACATGTGTACCAAAGTGTAAATAGGTACCAGGAAATGTTCTGATGAAATAAAGGCGATCGGCATAATGTTGAATTTATGTCCATCGAGTGTAACTTTACTTACTTATCGCCTTTTTATTAGTCTGAGTGACGTAATTTCGTTGCAACTTTACTGCAAAACTGCGACATTTGCTATTTTTTGGAGATACATTCGACTTTATGGGGCATTTTTTGGCGGGGTTAACTTACCATCTACTTGCTTATAATTTATAATATGTTAATAGGTAGGAAGATTCATACAGATAAGCAATATTTGAGGATCCTCGCCGGTGCTTCAGAGTTCGTGCAGTGCGCTGAGATTCTTCGGACTCAGTCTTGAGTTAGAAGTAGAACGGAGCACTTATGGATTACTATCCTTGTACCATGATGTTGATCCGTTGTTTAAACCATCATCATCATCATCATCGAAACCATATAAACCATAATATTTTCGAATAACTCAACAACTCGGCCATTAAAGGTCTTTTAATGAGAAAATATAAAGAATGTATGCATCTGATGACTGCTTTCACGTAATGGCTGGCGCACACACTTTCAGAGTGATTATCGTATGTTTGAATTCCTGCCATAAATTTGATACAGAATGAATTAACCTCGGCACCGTGGTTGATTCATGCTATAGTTTTGTTCTAGAAAAAAAAATTGTGTTCGGCGTTGAATTAATCGCTGAATGCAGTCATTACCGATTGGTTTAAAAATGCAGTCATTACCGATTGGTTTAAAAATTATTTGTTGGGCTAGAATCATTAGCATCTTGCACGTACTTATATAATAATCTATCGGGTTTTGTTTTTTCAATGTCTGTTTTATTCCATATGACTCAGCCTTTCATCACACAGCGGCAAGTCTGTTTGCACAAATTTACCAGCTCTGAAGCTCAAATATTGGCCTCTATGGATCTCCGAATTACCTACACATGCTAATGGAAGGACGGATTCCGAAATGGAACCGTCAACTTTCAGAGTAAAAGACGGGCTATACAGAGCCTTCGAAGAGAAGTAAAGTTGCTTACCCTAACAGAAAAATTTTAACGCATAAACAACAACCCCACGCACAGAATAGCAAATAACTTAACTAAAAACCGACTGAAAAGACAAAGCTTTCACCATCTATCACAATTGTACCATAAAAAAAAAAAAGAGTGACATCCTTTCTAAAGATTCTTCAACATGGGAAATGATCCAGGCACACAGCATAGACCTACAGCCTAACTATATAGTCACAACAACAATTACAGGCATAGACAGAAAGGCTAAAGAATTGTGACCTAGTACTGCACGCAAGACCCTTGAACATGTCTTCAACTGTTATCCAAAACTTGAACGGACACACGTATACACCGATGGATCATTGCAGGGAACAGAAAAAAAAAAACGGAGGAGCTGGATCGGTCATCATGCTGCAAGATGGGACCACAGAAAAAAGTCAAGCGCCTCCGGAAGACTCTCAACAAACTTTAGAGCAGATCAGCAAGCAATTATTGATTGATGTCAGTCCTCTAGGCGACTCAGAGGGATCCACGAGACAACATGGAGAGAGAACTGACCGACCAACTAAAGAGACACAGAAAACAATCAAATCGTTCTTCAGGGGATTCCGGCTCACTGCGGCATACCAGGAAATGATTTACAAAGGCCTGCAAAAAATGGAACAAAGCGAAACAACACGCCCATTCATTGTCATTACCAGAAATCAGAACACTTATCAAAGGAAAATACAAGGAATTGTGGCAAGAAAACAATATCAGTAAACATCCACAAGACAACATCAGCAGACTCAACAGAAGGCAAAATACAACAATTTTCCGTCTGCAGGACACTGCAGGCCCAACTACCACATTCATAAAATGAAGATCGTACCGTTTCCACAGTGTGCCTCTCAAAGAGGACCACAAACACCTGAGCACATTCTGCAGACCTGCCCACTCTACCTACAGCTTCGAAAAGACACCTGGCCTCAAGAGCAAAGTGTGCAGAGCAAGCTATGGGAAACAATGAAGGACCTGCTACTGACATACGAGTTTGTAGAGAAAACCCACCTGATGGTCTAATCTGAGCATACAAAACCGAACGCAAAGAAAAAGAAGAAGAGTAAAAGGCAAAAGCCTTAACCACTTTGTCCTAAATACATGTATGCATGTGCATACAACGATCGAATGCAGAGCATTGACTTGTAATCAAATGCACTACTCTCCTTGTGTTGGTTTCTGGGGCCCATTATTGTGACCAGAAAGGATAGACCCAATGCTCCATAAAATAAACCTTTGAAAATCTTTAATTTAGAAGTTTGGTGAAATCGATTGTGTTCTGCCTAATGGCACACATGTCGCAACCTAGCTGTAAACCACGACAATCGTGTCAATCGACTTTAAAATGAGAACGAAAGAAGAAGAAGAAGTAGAAGAAGAAGAAGGAGAAGAAGAAGAAGAAAAAGAAGAAGAAAAAGAAGAAGGAAGAGTAGGAGAAGAATAAGAATAGCAAGAAGAAGAAGAAGAAATCATGGCCCTCTAATCTATCAGTTTGTAAATGTTACTCTATTTTTCCGCTCCTTTCACCGCTATTTCTGCCCGCTTCAAGCTAGTAGACGTGTGTCTTTGTATATGTTGCCAGCTGCCACGAGATCCTCCTCGTCTACTCCAGCAGCTAACAATGGAACGCAGTCAGGTACGTCTTAGCCACCCTGTTGTCAACGTTGGACTTCGTGTTTACATCAAGACATCACTTGTCATCACCTCCGCTGTTGTAGTCTGATATCGGCAGTTCAGATTTTACAATAAAGACGTGAATTTTTTTATATGACAAGTTTCGTCTGTTTTTTTTTTTCTCCTGTTATATTTTTTTTGTATTCGTATACCGTCCACAAAAAAAGAAACGCAATATATAAGATGTTGCAGTTGAAAGTGAAGCTTGATGGTCGGGCTCAGGAAAATAACACGTAATGTTTACTTGATCATTAATTTTACATATGGACCTGAACTTGTCTCACTTCCTTATCATTAGCACGGGAAAAGCAGCAATAGCCTAGACAATATGTTTGACAAATACTCCTGACAGGTTTATAAGAATCGTGTGAAATGTGTTGAACACAAAGCTCAATGACCATGCTATTAAATGCATATAAAAGGGTCACACCTCTCAAATCAGTTCAGTTATAAATTCAGTGTGCAAGTTTTGCTCAACTCACTACAGAACACAAATTCAACTTCACTGGAAGTTTAAAGGCTAGCTAATAGTCTCAAGGTTTAATGACCGGATAATGAAATATGGTTTAAAGTAGTACCATCAGTCGAATTTTGGGGGCGATGTCAAGAAACTAGTTTGGTGGCAGATTGGCTGCGCAGTGGAAGATCTAGACAAAACACCTGCAGAATACCGCTTCATACGGCCTTCTCACCTCAGGAATCGATTTGTATCTGCGTTGTCCTCAGTCCAGCCGAGTCATTACCAGCAGTTTGTCCCATTTCAGTTCAAACAGGAACTGGCTTCAAAACGCTGGTCTTTTTGGTTCGTAGACCCTACAGAGGTCTCCTTTTTACCAAGCGGCATTACCAGTATTGAGTGCAATAGGCAAGCCACCATCGTAAATGGGCCCCTAGGAATAACTGGCAAAGTGTTTAGTTTAGTGACAAATTGTTTTGTTTGTGCTCCGGGGTATCGATAGAAGAAAGATAAAAATTTCCAGTAGAGTCCATTCGAGCTAAACCCTGATCTGCATAGCTAGATAAGGCTCCTCCACATGGCAGGGATGATGTACTGATGTGGGGCAACGATCAGCTCCATTTAAAGAAATGACCTGGAGGAATCGGAAGGAATCCACGCCTGAATGCCCAACGATGCAACATTGAAATACCAGTTCTTAGTCTCCCACTTCTGGATAACGCTGGACTTTATGTGGTACAAATAACCACCCAGTTTCTCGCCGACAACAACATCTAGACCATTCTCTGGCCAGCCATGTCATCATACATAACCCCATAGAATACGTATGGGACGAACTCAAGAGACGAGCCGGTCAGCGAGACGTTGCTGCAGCCAATCCCCAACAGTTTCTTACACTCCTAGAAGAGGGGGAAGCCATCCCACAACAACAGATCCAACGGATAACCACCAGACAAATACCAAAGAGATGGCGTTCTCAAATAGAGACTAAGGATGACATAAGCCCTATTTAAATGGGTGTCGAGTTCATAAAGAATAGAAACGTAAACCAAATGTAATAAATGTCGTTACATTCTTCGAGTCTTACAATTTCTTTGTGTCAGGTTTTAAACAATAATTCCGTCAAATTTGATGTTGACATAGGTTTGAAGTTGGCTATCCATTACAAATGCAATTGTGTTGCGTTTCTATTTGTGGACATTTATGTTTGTTTTCCTTTAACTAAGACAGAATTGTAACAATTATGTTCTTGGTAACACTGAGGGCTTTGGATTCATCAGGTCATACATAAACACACCTATCATGTGAAGCATGTATAGGAACAGTTGTGATCTGGGTATAGAATGTTTATTAAACATGTATCTATCTCTATCGCCTTTATTTCGTTATTAACACATAAGGCACACAAAAGTGATCTCTCTCTCTCTCTCTCTCTCTCTCTCTCTCTCTCTCTCTCTCTCTCTCTCTCTCTCTCTCTCTCTCTCTCTTCCATTGCCGGCCTGCTGTATTTCTACCAATGGTATCTGATGCCATTTTAAAGTTTTCCTTAGATCTCTACCTTCTCTTTTTCTGTCTGTCTGTCCAGTTGTGCATGCCAGAGTATCAAGAGGCAATCTGTAAACATGTGAAAGCAATCTCACGATCTTGTTTAGAAACAATATTCACAGGATTATCTGTAGCCTTTTACTAGGGTGAGGGGGAATTAAAACAGAAAAGATCATCTGACACATTTGTTTTTGTCTTTTTACCATCCTTCATCAGCCAGTCCAAGGTTTGTTTGATGTTTAATGTTTGAAATTAACATCACAACACTTGGGACAATCACATAAGCGCTCCGTCCCATCTTCAGCAGTAGGCGCAAAGTTCCTATTCCTATATTCCAATGGTGCCAGTTACAATCTGATTGTATATCCATCAACCTGTTCCCTGAGTGTTGACTGAGATCTTCTGGTCACTCCTCGTAGCGTCATTCTCCTCAAATCGTGATCATCCGTCTGTGCCTCCGCACTGTTCTTTCGCCTCCAAATGGCTTCAGCACACCTATCTTGTCATGCATCAGTTCTTCACTACCAAACCACCCAGTCTATCTGTCTGTTCATTTCCCAATACACTGTCATACCCTGGAAAAAAATATCCAACGGATGCTAACTAACCAGGACCTCTGAAGCGATGCTTGCCACAATTCACGGAGCATATCTGTTCACCTTTCTCGGGAGGTTGGTTATGTTGAACGAAAATGATGTTAGTATGCGTCCCTGCAGCTCCTCTGCTGAACAAGAAACTTTATATTGTATGATTATCGCACTCTCAACGATGGCGATTTTGCCCCTCTACAACTGCGTGTATCAGTTCGTGTTTTGACACCACTCCGTCATCAATGAAAAAATGCTGTTAAAAATCTTCTCGCGCTGCCTTCCTCTGTCTCTCTTTCCACAGATCTTTCCAGTGGTCACAACATATTCCAATTACCGTCTTCTTATAACATGACCCCCCAAAAATTAGGACTGCCTCTTTCTGATTGTGATAAGTTGTCTGAGCCACTCAGGGGAAGGTCGGGACGGATGTACAATCAGACAGATACTGGTGCCATCGGAATTTTAACTCTTCGCTTGCTGTTGAAGATGGGGACGGGGCGCTTATGGGGGTGTGCCAAGTGCTTAGATGTCGATTCTTTTATAAACATTCAACATTTGTCTTTGAGTACTTGCCTCTTCCAAAGCATATGGCTTGCTATTTTTAACTGTCCAAGGAATTCTAACGGTTTTTCTGTAAAACCGCATATCTGAAGCCTTAAGATACTGTTCGACTTGTTTATTAATTATCTAGGATTCACAGCTGTATGGTACAAACGGCTCTGTTTAGCACGCCAGCAGTATTTTTCGAACCTCCAATAACATGGATTTATCGCACAAAAATGTTTTTTTTTTTTCATTTAACAAACGGCAGTTTTCACCCGTTCTATTCTGTTCGTTATCTTTGTTTGAATATGATCCCACCCTACCTTGCATTACAACTTTAGGTATATTGCTATGGTCACATTTATTGTTTTCTGTGGTAAGACATAGCGACACAAAGTCTGCCAAAGTTATTTCCAGCTTTTAAAGGCGTTTTCAAGAATCACAAAATACCATGAAACCTAAACAGTTCCATTCATCGCTTAGTCAAATATTTGTGATCTGGTCGCCTGAACAAGAATCGGACAATTAACATCCTTTTGGTAGATCATGAGAATGGAAAACTGACGTATGTCGAGACAAAGGAACACTGAAGGAGAAGAGAGGCTTATTGTCTTTTGTACAGTTCTTTGCTTGAAGTTGGGCTACTGAAAATGTGCTAGACGCACTCACACACACTCACACACACTCACACACACACACATACACACACACAAACACACACACACATATATATAAATATATATATATATATATATATATATATATATATATATATATATATATATATATATATATATATATATATATATATACATATACACACATGGACATAGAGTAAAAGACCTCTTTCCACTCCCTTATTCATACAAGTTACACAGTGCCTATATTTTACATAGTAATGGTCACTCCATGGGGGATGTGCTTAACATCAGGCTTCTTCACAGAACTTTTACCTGGTAACCATTTAAGGCTGGGCTGACCTAGGAGCCATGGTTCCCTATGGAAAATAAGTGATTTGATGCGGATTGGTACCCGCGACATTTGGTCCTCTACACTGCGATGGTTCACACAAACATACATAAGTACGCTTTTATGTAGGAATGTAGAGAGGGCAAAAAAAAATCTTATTTGCATAAGTGCATTTAAAAAAAAAATGGTCAGCAGTTGGAGGCATCAATAACATGCACATGAAATTGTTACTGTGGAGGAACAAGACTGCCACCACAATCCATACCATTTGATATGCCTTGGATATCATTCGATCAACAACGTTTTACTGGGCATTGTGTTGCTGTTTTGTCCATCACGGGTGATAAAGACTACTTCTCATCCAAAGTTGTAAAGATCAATGATTATGAGTACGAAGGTGGCTGATTAGTCCAATATGAGCCCGGATAGTTCTTGAGCTGGACTTGTGAAGCTTCTATTGGCTTTAGTGGCAGTTAGTAGTAAAATAAATGACAGGGTAAACAATTCAATACCTCAGACAAATATTCATGGGCAATAGGTTGTCAGAATTGCAGAAGATTGATAAGAATAGATTGGCGAGAGACAACTGAATGGCATCGTCAGGTTACTTTCTACCGTATTTGAAATGACTATAATCATGGCTGTAAATATAGGGATTACGAATTTTTTAAGTGAGACACACATTCTTTCTTCTATACGGAAAAGATATAAAACCCAAAAAAGGCGTGATGCTAGTCTTGTCAGAGAAATAAAAACCAGATGTCAGAAAGCACTTGTTTACCAATTGTCAGCATTATTAAGACATCCAAGCATAACTATGAGTGCAGAAAGACGGATTATTAATAGCATATTCATTCCAACATTAAGCT